AGCTCGCACGTGGCGGTGGGGCTCAGGCGGCTTTTGGCAAAAAGATTTATCGTAACAGCAGAGAAGCAAAGCAGTGCTGAGGATATAGCTCAGTGGTAAAAACACTTTCGCAGTGTTTTCATGAGATAGGCCTCAGATTCAATTCCCAGTACTACCACAAACAAATAATAATAATAGCAAAAGTAGGAGGACTAATAGCAGTATAACAACCAATACCTTTTTTCAAATGACAGATGTACAAAAGGAGCCCTTTGACCACTCAGATGAAAAAAGGACAAAGCCACAGCTGGCACCTCACTGTGAGACTGAAGTAGAAGATGGCAGAAAACATGTATTGAGAACAGTGCCACAACATAAGAATGGGAAGAAAAGACAGAAGAAGAATAAGGGACACTAACTCCTTCAAGAATACTGACTCTTATATGGATGATAATGCAAATAATTGAAATGAAGGCAGCAGATAAAATTCAAATGTAAGTAAAGTACAAGTGAGGATGGCCCAAAGGAAGACAGCAAGATCTGTCTAAATATAGTCAAAACAAAGAGAAAAAGATCAGGTTTAAACTGATTTTACCCACCCTGCCAGAAACACACATAAATGTGGATGGCCAGGTGTAGTAGAAGAGCAGATGATTTCAAATGATAACAGTAGCTGTACTTCCATGGGGTCTGAACATGACTTAAGGACACAGTCAAAATTCTGCTGTCTCAGGATGGAAGCAGAAACGAAAATGCATGTGCACCTCTGATTCCAAGTAACTCACTGGGGAGAATGCAGGTGTAGATTTCATAAAATAGGAGGAGGAGGACGAGGAGGAGGAGGAAGAGGAGGAGGAGGAGGAAGAAGAAGAAGAGAAGAGGAGGAGGAAGAGGAAGAGGAGGATAGTCAACAACAAACAGAGAAAGGGGAGTGGGAGAATAGCAGAAGAAGGGTGCAGAGAAAAAGGAGAAGAGGGTAAAAGAGATGTGAGGAGGTGAGAAATTTCAGGAAGAAAACACTAAGATGGTGCTAAGTAGGGAAAAACAGAAAGTAGAAATTTCTAAGGAAAAAGACAACCATATGTTTTTAGATGACCATGAAGAGGAAGAGAAGGTGGAAAAAGCATCATCTGACAATGAAGATGATGGAGACAGCAGTCACAAAGTTAACCAAGTGGAGAGACACTTTCCAAGTCTCATGATAGCTAATCTTGGTTATCATCTTGACACACTTGGGAAGAACCTCAACTGAGAAATTGCCTCTATCATACTGGTCCAAGGCCACACCAATGTGGTCTGTACCATTCCGAAGTAAGTAGGTCAGGACTACATGAGGGATGTAGCTGAGCAAACCAGATTCCAGAAAAACCTCTTTCTTCCTGCTGGCTCAGCAGTAACTTCTGCCCCAAGCAGCTTTCCATTCCTATTGAAACATGCTCCCTAACCAAAGGCCTTCCTCTATCTAATAAGGCTGTCTTTCTTGGTGCTCTGACTCCTTCTTCCATTCTCATTCACATGGTGGTTCATGGCAGCCAGCCTCTTCCTCTCCAAGCACTTCTCTGCCAAATATTTCCATTTCTCTTTTTTTCCCTGCCCTCCAAAACCTGTGGTTTTGGCCTAACCCTGGAATAGCCATTCCCCTCCAATTAAATGCTTGGCCTGAATCTGCATCCAGGGATTTCCAAGTTCTTCCAATGAGATTTTAAGGTCAAAGCCAAGTACCACATTCTCAGTCATTTTAAAGAAACAGTAGTAAGTCTATCTCTCCCCTCCGCCTCAACTGCTGCTATGATGAGCTGTGTTCAATCTTCAGTCTTCCACACTCCTCCTGTAGCCTGCACGGATGCTTGCAGTCACAGCTTTCTCTTTCTGACCGCCCTCAAGCTTCTTTTGTAATTTTTTATTCATTAATTTTTTCATTTAAACTACAATCTTATTTTACATACCAATCCCAGTTCCCTCTCCCTCCAGTCCTTCCATTCCCCCCACTGTCTCCCCAACCCAACCCCACCATCCATTCCTCAGAGAGGGTGAAGCCTCCCATGGAGGATGATCAAAGTCTGTCTTATGGGGGGAGGAAGGGAGGAGGAAAAGGAGGGAAGTAGGGGAGGGGAAGAACATGAGGGATCAGGAAGGTCGAGTTGGGATAACAAAGAAGGAGAGCAAGGAAAGAGATACTTTGATGGAGGGAGCCTTTATAGGTTTAAAGAGAAATCTAGCACTAGGGAAATGTCCAGAGATCTACAAGGATGACCCCAACTAACAATCTAAGCAGTGGTTGAGAGGCTACCTTAAATACCCTTCACCAATAATGAGATTGATGACTACCTGATATCCCATCCTAGAGCCTTCATCCAGTAGCTGATGGAAGCAGAAGCAGACACCCACAGCTAAGCACTGAGCAGAACTCCTGGAATCCAGTTGTACAGAGGGAGGAGTGATGAGCAAAGGGGTCAAGACCAGACTGGGGAAACCCACAGACACACTCAAGGTTGTTATCCCAAAAGGCAATATAGCTTTCAGCAAAAAGGCAACAGATAAGGTACTCTTTGGTGGGGGCTGGGGCTGGGGCTGTTAACTGACTAAACCAACTCCCATACTTCCCAGTCTTATGCACTGAAAATATACTCATTAGTACATAGCCCAGTTAAACAAGTTTCAAACAACCTTCTGTCCTTTCAATGATGTGATGTTATCATGTTATTTTATTATGTTCCTGTTTTGTTTATGGACTGTAGCTAAATGTTACTTGTATGTAAACTGCATTAATGTTCCAAAGAATCTGAGGCTATCATTAAGATTATGCCTGATTTTAAGGTGTGTGTACGTGTAAATGATGTATATTTAATTATCTTAAGGTGATTCAAGATTTTATGACTTTATATACAGTTCTCGTACCAGAGTATTTAAAATGGTCATCATGCTCTGAACATTTGGGATACAATGCACATGATTTTGATGTTTCAAATAATATTTGTTAAGCTTTAATTTTAAAATATAATTGGTTTTTAAATTTATATACAAAATAGCCTAGTAAAAATTAAAATATTAACTATAGCTTATAGTTATTTTAAAATGCTTTTACATAAAATATTTTTACATAAAAATTTAGAAAGGATTGCTATAAAATAGTTTTAAATCAATTAATTATAACATTTAAGGTCAAAATAATGTTAGATCTATGCAAAACTGATGCCTGATACTTTATTTACAACAACAAGGTTTGCTTAAATATTGGTGTACTCTTAGTAACGTTTACTGAATCTTTGCAGTGTTTACAAAAAATGTTTCAAATAAACAAGAATTTTGTAGTATTCCTTTGTTAATGAGATATCTAGAAAGTTATGATAAGATTATTTCAAATGTTCTTTCTATTTTTTTCTAATGGGTAAATTAGATAGGTATTACAGATCTTATTTTATTAAACAAAAAACTCAATTGTATTTAAATTTTGCCTCGTTTTAAAAATGCTCATGGTCCCATGTTCACTCCTCTAGGTTCATAATTAAATAAACAATTGCCACTAATAACTTGTGGCTCCTTCCTACCTAAAACAAAAGGATTGTTCTTTTATCTGTCGTTTTTCATAAGATATTTAAATTTTTACTTTGTTATTCCTCAGGGATAGAAATTAGTGATTTTAACTCTGATAAACCTATAGATAAATACATTATTAGATCCTCCTGGTATAGCTCCCCCACCCCAACCACTATCTCAGTTAAACTGCTCTGCAGGTCCTTTTTCTTTTTTCTCCTGGACAGGGCCTAGGCCCTCCTCCATATGCCCAGGCTGAGAGAGCATTCCTCCATGTAGAATGGGCTCCAAAAGTCCTTTCTTACACTATGGATAAATGCTGATCCACTACCAGGGTTCCAGAGTTCAGCTCAGTGTTTAACTGTGGATGTCTGCCTCTGCTTCCATCAGACACTGGATGAAGGCTCTAGGATGGCATGTAAGGTAGTCAACAGTCTCATTATAGGGTAAGGACATTTAGTGTAGTCTCTCCACTATTGCTTAGATTGTCAGTTGGTGTCATCCTTGTAGATCTCTGGAAATCTCCTTAGTGCCACATCTCTCCTCAAACCTATAATGGCTCCCTCTGTTATGGTATCTCTCATCCTGCTCTCCTCTATTCTTCCCCCGACTCAAACTTCCCGCTCCCCCATTTCCTCCTCTTCCCTTCTCTTCTCCCCCTCTCATTCTCCCAACTCCCTTTCCCCTACCCTCATGCTCCCAATTAGCTCAGTATATCATGTCCCTTTCCCCTTCTCCAGAGTCCAAGTATTCTTCTCTTAGAGTCCTCCTTGTTTCCTAGTTCATTTGGTGATGTGGATGGATAGTAGGCTGGTAATCCTCTGCTCTGTGTCTAAAATTCATACATGAGTGAGTATATACCATGTTTGTCTTTTTGTGACTGGGTTAGCTCACTCAGGATGGCTTCTTCTAGTTTCCTCCATTTGCCTGCTTTTTTCTGCTGAGTAGTACCCCATTATGTAAATGTACCACATTTTCTCTATCCATTCTTCAGTTGAGGGGCATCTAGGTTGCTTCCAGGTTCTGGCTATTACAAACAACGCTGCTATGAACATATGTCCTTGTTGTATGAATGTGTATTCGTTGGGTATATATGCCCAAGAGAGGAATTACTGGATCTTGAGGTAGACTGATTCCCATTTTTGGAGGTTCTTAAACTCTTCTAATATAAATCAGAGTATCTGTCTCCATCTTCTGTCTTTGTTTCTTTAAGACATATTGATTTTGTTATTTTAATATTAAATATACTACTACAAAGTTATATTTGTGTGACAGACTAATGTCAAGTAGCTATACCTGTGTTGGTAAAACATGTTATAAATGAAAAGAGTTAAAATGTTACAAGTCCAGACTCAAAAGGGCTTTGAACTATCTGAGCCTTTTCTTTCATTGAAAATATCTTTTTCATGCACTATGGTCCCATCTTAACCTCTTTAATAGACAGGCTCTTATTTTCCTGTGGATATGGCATTGTTATAACCCCAATACAAAAATCTTCTTAAGGGGACTGACTTTAAAGAGATTTATAATAACTATAAAGCTGTTTTGTACTCTTAGATACCTTGCATAAAACTTCTTCTAAAAATAAAATAAAAACTCAAATTGTATAGGCATTCTCTTCTCTGGCACCCGTTGTATCAATAAATCTTTATTCACCCTCTACGTGCTCAGAGAAGCTCAGATCATCTACAGCTGGGTTACTCGCCAGCCTTCCTGTTCCCTATCTTTCACTAACCTTTCATACTGCTGGGCTCCTGGTGGCCCCTATGGGCTTTTCCCAAATGTTGGGTTTCTGGTGACTTCTGGGGCTTTACCGTACTGCAAAGTTTCTGATGGATCCTCTACTTTATTGGGCTCTTTTCCTTATTCTGGGGGTCCATTCCCTGTCTTCCTGAACTCCTGCCCTAATCAGAACTTCCAGTTTTGCATATACATTATATTGGTAAACTGCCATGTGCTGTTTAAGCTGACTGAGAAGCAGGCTCAATAGGTAGGATCTGACACTTCTACTTCTGATTCAATTATATTTAGCTAACAGTATCTCCTGTCCTGGGTCAGCTTGGCCGCTGACTGTAATAGAAAGAAAAGAGAGCAACAAAATAGCCCAGAGTAAAAGCATTATGCCTTTGAGTACAGCTAAAGGTAAACTATTTGCAACAGAGGTTATGGCTATTTATTCCATAATATAAAATGTCTCTAAAAAGAACGGCTAATGGAATGTTTATCCATGCAGAGGACTTTATGACTAAAATTCTCAATCAGAAATTCCAATATCACAGTTTTAACAGGGCTTCCTTTGCTGATTTCTGCTGAATGTTGTAGACATCAATTTAACGACATTTTGCTGTTTACCTGCAGTTTTATCTTTGCTACTTTCACTCATTAGAAACCAAAAGCACAACTATGGCACATCATTCTATTGACCTACAGGACACACAAAATAATTCAAGTGACTTGTGTTTGCTATAGGGCTAATCTGGGCATTTACAAAAGTCTCATAGCTTAATAATATGTAGAGAGGTAGTATTAACTTATTACTTTATGTTATGTGTATAATTAGGACTCAACTTTCTTTAAGTTTTTATTTTTCTAATATTTAGTTTACATTTATGGTTGTTTTACTACTGTGTATGCCCCTGCAACATGTGTGTGCCTCTTGCTTGCAGAAGTCAGAAAAGAATATGTGATCCCTTGGAACAAGATTTAGGGGTGGTAATGAGTCACCATATGGCTGCTGGAAACCTAACCCAAGTTCTTTGCAAAAGCAGCAAGTGATCTTAATTGCTGAGTCATGTTTCCAACCCTAAGAATGCAAAGGCTTTTAGTAAAGAAGAAGTTGTTTAAAGTTACGATACCTAGATAATTTTTCAGAATGGGAAAGAAAACTGGAAAACAAGTCACAAGTAATATAAGTAATATTATATAAGTCTAAGTAATATAAGACACGGCGATGAATACATATGATATTAAATTTTCCAAGGTTACGGTTCAGTCAAGTCTCTACTTAAATTAATAGTTACCTTAAGTTATACTTTAAGTTATACTTTTGCTCTTGGTGGTAATTGCAAGAACATAAATACAGGTATAATTGAGATGTATTCAAGTGTCATACAGTAGTTAAATGTACCAGACTGGTATAACTAACCTTCTGAGGCTCCATAACAACATTTGGAGACCTATATGTACATAGACAGAGGAATTAAAAGGGACAGCATTTTGCACCTTGCCCTTCCAGGTCATCTAGATACAAGAGCAGCAATGATGAATCACTTGTCCTTTTGTTCAGGGAGGCCACAAAAACTCACTAACTGAATCTAATGAATGTCCATTTCGTAGAGACACAGGGCAACACAGAGGAAAACAATTCCCTCAAACGTCCAAGTGAAGCCATATTTAAGTAAGGCCTTTGAATTGCCCTCACACAGATGGTACAAGTGACAAAAGATAGGCTAAAGGAGACAGAGACACTTGCCAAGGGGATGTGACCCCTGAAGACAAGACCCTCAGTGGGCCACCTACATAGTCATAAATAACCAGTGGGAAAGCATAACCAAAGTTAAAATAATAATATAAAACCAACTAGAAACAGACTAGGCTTTACAAGCCTGAAAAGGCTACTGTCATGCCAGGTAATCACAATCACTCTAGCTGTAATCAAAAGGCTTACATGCTTTTCCTAGCCAAGGCCAAACTGATGTTAATATATTTGTGGTAACTGTATCTTTGCTTTACAAGGTGTAGTGATTTGAATGAAAATTGCCATCACAGGCTTAAAATTTTGAAAGTTTAGTTCCTAGTTAGTGCACTGTTTCAGGAAGATTAGGAGGTATGGTCTTGTTAAACTTTCAAAAGTCCACTCCATCTGGACTGACAACCAGGGAGACTGCCATTTAACTGACATAGACAGTCTGCATATATGTGACAGTTGTGTAGCTTTATCTACTTTTGTGACTCCTGACAGTGGGAACAGGGTCTGTCCTTAATGTGTTAATTGGCTTTTGGAACCCTATTAGTCATAATGTGTCTCCTTGACCAGCCTTAAAACAAGGGGACGTGCTTAGTCTTATTACAACTTGGTATGCCATGTTTTGTCGATATCTGTGGGAGGTCTGCACATTTCTGAATAGAAAATGGAAGCATGAATAGGGGAATACGGAGGAGGTGAGGGGAGGCACTGGGAGGAGAGGAGGGAGAGAAAAGTGCAATGAGGATGCTAACTAACTAATTAATTAAAAATCCACTCCATATAATAATCAAAACAGGAAACTTACAGAATAAAGAGAAAATATTAATAGCAGCAAAGGAAAAGGTCAAGTAACATATAAAGGCAGACCCATAGGAATCACACCTGACTTCTCAATGGAAACTTTGAAGCCAGAAGATCCAGGATAGATGTCCTAAAAACACTATGGGAACAGGGATGCCAAACCAGACCACTGCACCCAGCAAAACTTTCAATCACTGTAGATAGAGAAAACAAGATGTTCTATGACAAAACCAGACTTAAACAATACATATCCACAAATAGAGCACTACAGAAATTCCTAGAGGGAAAACTGCAACCCAACAAAGATAAGTACACTCACAAAAACATAGGTAATAGATAATCCAAATTTACCAAACAGGAAAAGAAACAGGAGGGCTAAATCCACACACAATGACACCACCAACAATAAATCCAAAACAAACAAGAACCAAAAATCAACAAATATTAATATCCCTCAAAGTCAATGGTCTTAACCAGCCTATAAAAAGATACAGGCTAACAGAATGGATACGAAGACAGAATCCATCCTTCTGCTGTGTACAAGAAACACACCTCAATTTTAGAGGCAGGCATTACCTCAGATTAAAAGGTTGGGAAAAGATTTTCCAATCAAATGGACCCAAGAAACAAGCTGATGTAGCAATCCTAATATCTAACAAATTAGACTTCAAACTAAAATCAATCAGAAGAGATGAAGAAGGGCATTTCATACTCATCACATGAAAAGTA